TTTGTGGTGTGTGTATGTGTGTACACATTCATATACGTGTGCCAGGCTGGTGGGTTTGTTGTTTGCGGTGTGTGTATGTGTGTGTATGTGTTTGTGCACATGTTCATGTATGTGCATGTGGGGGTCTGGAGATCAATCTCAGATGTTGCTCAGAAGTCCTCCATACTGTTATTATTAATAATAATTATTACATTTGTTTGTTTGTTTGTTTGTTTATTTACTTTTGAGACAGTCTCTTTCTGTAGGTCCTATTGCCCCACAGCTGAGCCTGACTGGTCAGCAGCCTGACTAGTCAGCCAGGCTCCGGGATTCTCCTGTCTCTATCTCTGCAGTGCTGGGATTACAAAGGCTCCACCATACTCAGCCTTTCACCTGGGTGCTGGGGCTTGAACTCAGCTCCCCATGCTTGTCCAGCAAGTGCTTTACTGGCTGAGCCATCCCCTAGCCTCTGAACAGACTGCTGTAGGGTTTCTGCCAGGCTGTTCACCAAACTTCCTGTTTGTATCTTGTGACAATTTCACAGGTGCACAGTTTATTTTGCTGTGTGCACTCCCCGTCTCTCTCCTCCACTCCGTCTTGACACTTCTCACCAAGTCTCCCTGACTTTCATGTCTTTCTTTTTTTATAAATGACCCATTGAGTTTAATTAGAGTTGCTGGCAAAAACATGGATCTGGGGCTATTGGCGTGTCAGTGACTTAACCGGTGGTGGCTCGCTTGCAGAAATGCTTTCCCTTTTCCAGCATCTGTTAACTTTTTCTAGCTTTTCAGTTAGGGGTGGGCTCATGGGCTCCCCTACCATCCATGCTGGAATGGAGGCTGGCTGGATCTAGGACGGGTCTTGTGCTACAGGAGCTATGGGTCCCTGAGCACATTCACAGACATGTCATGTCAGAAGACAATGTTTTGCAGCCCTTCCTGCCTCTCACATTCTTTCTGTCCTCACTTCCCACGTGGTCACTGAGTCTCAGGGTGGTGAGAGAGATGACTAGCTCCACATGGCCTTGACGTGGGTTGAGCCTTGGAACATCAGGTGTGGCCGGCGACCACACTCAGCCACAGAGAACAATCAGTTCCTCACCTTCTCCTGGATGCTGGCCACCAGGTGACACCTTTATCTCAGAGGTGTTGCTGTCTAAAACCAAAGCATCCTTGAGGGGACAGTACAGGGATTAATCTTCCTCCCAAGCAGAGAATGTGAAGAGAAGCTAATCTTGTGTCTTTCTTCTTAGCGAAGCTTTTTGATTGGGACGTATCAGCTATACTCATGAATGTGATCATTGTGACATTTTCATACATGTACAGCGTGTATTTGATCATGGTCATTTCCTGTGTCCTCTCATGTCCACATCCGTGCTGATCAACTTCTTCCCAAAGAATTCCCTTCATTTTCATTTCTGTCATCATCATCATCACCACCACCACCGCCACCTTGAATGTTTGTGTGCGTTGCCTGCATATATGTTTGTGAACCACACATGTGCCTGTAGAGGCCAGAAGAGGCTGTCCAATCCCCTGGGACTGGAGTTACAGATGGTGTGAGCCACCATGTGGGTCCTGGGACCCAAACCCTGGTCCTCTGTACCCAGGGCTCTTAACCATTGAGCTGTATTTCCAGTGTCTGCCTTCTTTTCCTCTCTCCCTTCCTCCCTCCCTCCCTCCCTCCCTCCCTCCCTCCCTCCCTCCCTCCCTTCCTCCCTCCCTTCCTCCCTCCCTCCCTCCTTCCTTCCCTCTATCCCTCTCTCCTTCCTTCCCTCCCTCCCTCTCTTCTTCCTTCCCTCCCTCCCTCCCTCCCTTCTTCCCTTTCCCTCCCTCCCTCCCTCCCTTCCTTCGTCCCTTCCTCCCTCCCTCCTTACCTCCCTCCCTCCATGGGTGAACCAGTGAGTTTCACTAGGATTGCTTACAGGAACATGAGCACCTTGCCAGAGGCTGGAATAAGGCCATTAGGAGCTGTCAAGTATGTTTGGGGGTTGACGTCTTCAGCCTTCTGTGGACACCCTGAAATGGGGACTTGTTGGACCAAGCGTGGGATGGGTTTAACTTTAGGATAAACTGGCTGAAGTGTTCTCTGTGTGGTTACACCTCTTTGCACCCCGAGGGTTCAGGGAGTTTGCACCCACTTGCCAGTGATGGCTCTCAGTTTAGCTGCTTTGTGCCATTTGAATGGGTTGATGAGGCTCTGGCTTTTGTTTACACTCCCGGTGACTAATATTGTCGAACACATTTTCATGTGTGTGTTGGCCATCTGCGTACAGTCCTTTGTAAAAGGCCTGGGAGTCTTTGTTCCTGTTTAATGCCGTTATTTCTGTTAATTGTTGAGTTGTAAAATTGAATCCTTTGTCAGTTGTCTGTAGCAGATGATCTGTCCCAGTTTGACTTGACTTCCCGTCTCCCCTCTCCCCTCTCCCCTCTCCCTCCTCTCTCCCCCTCCTTCCCCCTCCCCTTCTCCTCTTCCTTTCCCCTCCCCTTCCCTTCTCCCTCCTCTCTCCTTCCTCCCCTCTCCCTCCTCTGTCCCTTTTCCTCTCTTCCTTCCCCC